GGACAACAGTTTAGCTTGTTTGTCGCGCTAGCACCAAGCTAATACATATAAGGCAATATAGTATCAGAGCTAGCACAAATCTAATAAAAGCTAATCTGAGGTTGTTCTTCCATGAAGCAGCTCTGTTGTCCTCCATCCATATTTTCAGTTCCAGGCTGAGTCATTTCTACCTTCTCCTCTCTGACTTACTGACTCAGGAGCTCTAATGACAGATTTAAATTGATTTTAATTATAAATAGTGTGTGTACAGATGTGTGGCTGAACAAAGGGCCTTCATAGAGTGATTAATTTAATGTTTAATGATGAAACTAAAAAAAACAATAAAGATTTATAATTTATTTGAAAGAAAAGGAGAATAATAAAAACTTCTAAACTGGTTGAAATGATCTGTGATCAAACCCAACATAAAGCTACATTTAAAAGAGAAAAGGAGGAAATAAAATGGGGATGTTTTGAATCAGCTGTAAGGAAGTGGTCATCCAGTCAAAGCATCAGGTGGTGTAATGTGCTGAAGTGCCCTTAGGCCAAACACTGAACCCTCCCCTGATTTGCCTACAGGAATATAAAAGTATTGTGTACAAAATGTAACAGAACAGAAAGGATGGAGCGACTGAACGAGCAAACGTGAAACACGCAGTGAAAAACAAAGATTATGAAATATAAAATATTAGATCCAAGAGGCAGAATTTACCTCTTCTGTGGTGTTGAGCTGCTGAAGTTTAAAGTTTTAATAATGTTTATTAATTAAACTGATTTGATTGTATCTCTATGTTTGTGTACAATAACGTTACAAAATCCATTGCTTTCACTTTCACCATTTGTGTGTATGCATCTGTGTGTGTGTGTGTATACTTGTTTTTGTTACCTATTTAGGACCATTTCCAGTATTCACACCTAGCTTGTCAAGACCAGTAGTTCTACTGGGGACCAGAGGCCAGTCCTAATATGGTGGAACTCTATTTTTGGGTTTGGAGTTGGGTTTAGGACCAAGGTTTAGGTTAGTTTTAGGGTCAGGTAGGTACCTGTGTTTTACAATTACTAACCTTATTTTTATTTTGCAAAAAAAGAGCCATAAGAATTATTACAATTATCACCCATCTAATACATCGTTTCATCAGTTCAAATTATTAAAATTTCATGAGTTAGTTGAATATCATGTTCTGCAGGTTGTGTTTAAAGCTCATAAAAATGTGTTACCATCAAACATCCAGTCTAATTTTATTAAAAGGGAAAGCTGCTATAATTTGAAGGGATTACAAATGTTTGTTAAACTGAAAATCAGAATAAATTTGAAGGACAGATGCACTTCAGTAAAAGGTATAAAACTATGGAATAATCAGAAAAATGATTATAAAAGCATTGGATCAATTAATTCC